AATTTAAAAAAAAGCGCCCGCCCGCCCACTTTTTGGCAAAAGCTAAGGACGCTAACCAACTATTTTTTTTATGTGGCCTTATCATGCAACTGACAACAATATTATATCTCAAAATACCTGTATATGATGATATTTTACAAATATATCAGGATATTTGGACCAATTTTAAACTTAGCAAGGTAAAAAGTCTCCATTCAAGAATATATCTTCTTCTCAAAAGGTAAAATACTTAGAATATTTGATTAAATATATATTATTGTTTACTTCGACGGTATGTAAATTAACAGCGCTTGACTTGCAATACGTCAAAAACGGACGATTTCAACGCGCTGTCGTTTATCGCGTATTCATTTGCCCAAAGAAGTATTTCCGTCAATTGAAAGCTTGTTTATCAAAGAGCCAACTAGTGGGAGCATGCATGATCGATTTGGAGCTTTATCCCATAGTGAAAATCGGTTTTGTTAAGAGGGTATCGTAAATGAAGTAAGATAGTGTGCTCCAAAACTACGATTATTTCTATTCCTAAAAGTAACTCAGATTTCTTGTAAGTCAGGTACCCGGTCCTTTGAATAACCGAAAACAAGATTTTTGGGTTTTAGATCGATTAGAAACGGTTGTCGTTGTGAAATTTGTCGGTAAAATCAGCGCATATTTTCCCAGACAAAATGGCGATTTAGGGTGGTCGTGTTAAAACGGAATTTTCTCAAAGTTAAAAAAGCATTTGACCTAAAAAAATATATGGTGCATTTTCCGATATATTCTGGGCAAAATTTGAGCAAAATCGATTTTTCAGTCGTGGCCGCATTGTATCTCATATGTTCGATTTTTACTGACATTCACTCTTAAGATTTTAAAGTTTATATAAATGGATTTTCAAATTTCTTTGCAGATAGGGGTGTGCCGAAACTTTTATTTATGACACATCACACATGTCATCCAATTGCAACACAGAAAACAGACCGTATAAAATATAAAAGAATCACATAGTACGGTAGGCCCATTCTTTTCCGATGTCCAGTTTCATAGAAGGTATCAACCATAAATACAAGAAATACTTGAACATTCGTTTTTGTGTGGAAATTGGTAAATTCCAGAACAGTGAATGTATCATTTTTTATTCAATCTCATATTTCAAAAAAAACTTCTGGTGCATCCCTGTTATTATGGTGTCCTATCCCCGCCAAAATTCGAACTTTTCATTTGTGATACACCTTTTTAAATTTGACATCCAAGTTTTTGTAATTTGCATACAACTTTTTCCATTTTATACACAACTTTTTTTTCATTCAACTTCTTCTATTTTATATACAAATTTTTGTATTTTGTATACAACTTTTTCCATTCAACTTTTTATATTTTACATACAACTTTTTGTATTGGCAACTTTTTATATCGAACAGCAATCCAATAAGAAACATACTGCGGGCTCATTGTATCAACCACTGACCAAAGTTCCACAGGCGCTTCAGTTTCGGCGCCATTTTTTTTGTCTTTCATATTTACGTACTTTTATCACGACCTTTTTATATACAGTCTTTTTAAAAAATGGACGAGGAGGCTGTAGAGTACATTTTGGAGGTAATTCATAATGTTATAATATGTATACAGCTAATTCAAAAAAGGTTGTCCTTTGAATTGTAAACCTTAATTAAATTCTAAACCTTAAACTCTAAGCGCGCAAAGCTTAATTGGAGCACAAGTTTCAAGCTTAATAGTCGAATATTGCAGCTTTTGTGAATGAATTGTTCTAATATTAAAGGAGATATTTACCTTGTCTCCAAGAAATGAGCCCTAAACTGATTTCTAAACTGATTAAATGATGCTCCCATTATGTTTTGCACACTTAGAGTTTAGGTTTTAGAGTTTAAGGTTTGCAAAGGACAACCTTTTTTGAATTAGCTGTAAACTAATTTTCAATCTATAATGTTATTGGTGTTTATATTAAGTGTTCTAATTTACAGCATGCACATGATCACAAGTATTGTAAAGTTCTAAATATCTCAAAATGAGCCATATTAGCTATTAAACTGCCCGCGCTCAACATATTTCACTTGGGTTTCTCATGAAGTTGCACGAATTTTTTTTCTTTCCCCAAGTGGTTGCAGGAATGTTTTGTTCTTGTTCAACTCCTTGCATGCATGAATTTTTTTATAATAATAATAATAATAATAATAATAATAATAATAATAATAATAAAGCCAAACCCGAAGTCCAAGGCAAAGGACCATCAAGATGCCTTGTCAAAGCGACTTGCACTTTGGAAGGACGGTGAGATCAGTAAGCTAATACGTGAGGGACGAATCATACAAAGTCATACTCAATGACGAGATACCCGAATCTATTTACTCACAGATCAATGGTGAGATGGTTAGACAAGCCGCTTTGAGAACAAAGGGATCCGGAAGCCCGTCTGGTGTCGATGCTAACGGCTTTAGAAGAATGTTGGCATGTAAGTCCTTTAAGCAATCATCTACAAGACTGTGCGAAGCTATAGCCAGAATGACCAAGACTTTGTGCACACAATATATCGATCCTACCACTATTGAAGCATTGATTGCTAGTCGTTTAATTTCCCTAGACAAAGGCGAAGGTGCGGTAAGACCTATCGGAGTAGGAGAGGTAATAAGGAGGATAAGTGCAAAATGTGTTATGAGCTTTGCAAAGAAGGATGTTGTGGAAGCAAGTGGATCGTTACAATTATGCGCTGGGCAAAAGTCTGGAAATGAGGCTGCAATACATGCAATGAACACCCTGTTTGAAGCTGATGACATTGATGCTGTTTTACTTATCGATGCTTCCAATGCATTCAATGCACTCAACAGAACTGTGGCTCTGCATAACATCCGTGTGTTATGTCCGATAATCGCTGCCTACGCTATAAACACCTACAGACAGACAGCTCGGCTGTTTATTGTTGGCGGCAAAGAGATTGCGTCAGCAGAAGGAACCACACAAGGAGATCCTTTGGCAATGGCCTTTTATGCGATAAGTACCATGCCTTTGATCACGAGTCTACAGGCCGCATCTACCGTGAAGCAGTGTTGGTTCGTAGACGATGCGAGTGGAGCTGGTCGTGTGACACAAGTCAAAGATTGGTGGGATGCATTGAATACTCTCGGTCCAAACTTGGGATATTTTCCGAAAGATGAGAAATGCTGGATTATTGTTAAGCCCGAAAAGGAAGAAAGTGTGAGAGAAGTCTTCCATGGAACGGATATCAATGTAACAGTGCATGGGCAGAAACATCTGGGAGCAGCGCTAGGTTCACGAGAGTATGTGGAGGAATATGTTAATGAGAAGGTCTCTAATTGGGTCAACAAAGTGACAGAATTAGCTGAATTTGCACTGTCCCAACCACAAGCGTCCTATGCCGCATACACATTTGGTTTGAAACATCGTTGGACCTACTTCCTAAGAACCCTGCCAGACATCCAGGACCTACTAGAGCCACTCGAAAAGGCAATATCGCAGATTCTCATCCCCGCTATCACAGATCACCAGTGCAATCCACGCAATCGGGACATTCTAGCACTTCCAGCACGTCTGGGTGGCCTGGGCTTGGAAAATCCAAGTCATGAGGCAGAACGTCAGTATGTGTCGTCAAAAAGAGTGACAGCACCCCTTGTTGATCAGATTGTAGCGCAGTTCCATCAGCTACCCGACGAGTCGCATATAAAATCAGCGCAACAAGCCGTTAGAAAAGCAAGAGTGGGAGGAGAGGGCAGAACGTATTAGAGAAAGTGCACCACCAAGAATTCAGCGTATATTAGATGTGGCTTCGGAAAAAGGATCATCTGTGTGGCTCACAGCACTTCCCCTAAAAGAGCAGAGATTCAACTTGAATAAGAGAGAATTTCGGGACGCCGTAAAGCTGCGCTATGATTGGCCAATCGACGACATCCCCCCATATGTGTATGTGGGGATACCTTCACGGTCGACCATGCCATGATCTGCAAACGTGGAGGCTTTGTAATTATGCGCCACAATGAGTTAAGAGATCTGGAAGCGGAACTCCTCAACATTGTCTGTAGTGACGTCCAAGTTGAGCCTGTCCTACAAGACATCTCGGGAGAGCAACTAAATGGAGGCTCCAACAGAGCACCTGATGCTAGACTCGACATTCGTGCGCGTGGGTTCTGGGAAAGTCAACGATCAGCCTTTTTTGATGTAAGGGTTTGTCATCCCAATGCTGATTCGTACAAGGACCTGGAGCTTCGCCAAGTCTACAAGATACACGAAAACGAGAAGAAGCGCCTATATGCAAGGAGAGTCCTCGAAATAGAGCAAGGAACATTTACGCCACTCGTATTCACCACCACAGGCGGTATGGGCAAAGAATGTGTAAGATACCATAGTCGATTGGCAGAGTTGGTAGCCATGAAGAAAGGCGAAGATTATGCGACAACTATGAGTTGGATAAGAGTCAGAACCTCATTCGCTTTATTGAGATCGGCACTTACCTGCTTGAGGGGTTCAAGGGCAAGGAAAATCATGCATGATATTAAGAACATTGATTTCAACATTGAGAACGCCGAGAGTGCTATCTCTCAAACATTTTAGACTGTACATATACAAAGTTTAGTTGTTTAGTTATTTAGCGGAATATCTTAGTTTAGTTATTTAGCTACTTAGCGGTAAATATTTTAATTATGTAGCGATATATGTTCCAGAGTTTGTTTTTAAAATTTAACTGTACATATCAACAAACATTTAGACACTTTTTTAATTATACCTAAAGAACAGATTATTTAATATAGTCATTGATAACAAAAGAATTATTGTATATAATGAAATGATGAATAAAGTTATAATAATAATAATAATGGAAACTTTATTGAATTTTTTACGTATATATATACAATTGTAAATCTCACTACTGACTTAGGTAATTTACAATTGGCTACATGAATCACAGAGTACTACATATGTACTATTTGCAGTAAAGACAAGAATAAAATGGGTATATGATTATATATATATTGTTATATGTAGTTATTAATTTAAATGTTTAACAATTCAGGGTTTGTCCACTCTTTGTTTCGACAGCAAAAAATATAGTGCGTCGCTCTAATGGCATAAGACGTCATCTTTTTTATGCAGTAATGTTGCTGCTTTTTATCCATTCCTATAGTGTCTAACATTTCTAAAAAGGTGAAGCATTCTTTGTCAAACACACCGAGAGAGCTCATTGATAGGTTTACAAATTTAACAGAATTAAAGTGACCCCTTTGATCTTCAATTAGATCTTTGTATTTTGCTTTTTTGCGTTTAACGTTATTATGTAGATTAGATTCAAACCCGACAGTAAGTTCAAGGACATAAAGATCTTCATTTGGGGTAATTAGGAGTAAGTCCGGTCCATTACTTAATGTTCCAGAAATGGGTATTTCAAGCCACTTTCTGATGTATTGATTAATCACAGAATCGATTGTTTCCGTTACCCAGGTTATCGATAGGGTTGCAACAGTGAGATGCCAGGATATTTTGGATAGAACGTAGCGGTTATATAGAATAAGTTTGTTTTTTGGGTGTAGAGGTTTATGGTCGATATCAGACATTAGTTCATCAATGAGGGACATTAGTTCAGATTTGTGTTCTTGGTCAGACATATCAAAATCAAAGAATCTTCCTAGATATTTAAAAGATTCTCCCATTTGAATAGTAGGTATAAGACCATTGTTAATTAGCAGTTTCGGTAAGTACTGAACGGATTTTGTCAAAACTTTCCTGATGCCGAAGGTGCTACATTTATCAACTCTGATTATCATGTTCGACCATTGACACCAGATTGTGAATCGGTTTAAGAGGTGTTGGTTTTCATAATAATAATAATAATAATAATAATAATAATACAACTTTATTCATCATTTCATTATATACAATAATGCTTTTGTTATCAATGACTATATTAAATAATAATAATGAAAACTTTATTAAATGGATATTTAGCTTATATATACAATTGCAAATCTCACTTATATCAAATAATTTACAACTGGCTACTTAAATCACTGATTATATATTCAAAAATTATACTATTAAGATAACAAAATGACAGTACAACGTAACACTTAACAGTTCCGGATTCATCCATTCCTTGTTTCGACAACAAAATATATAATACGTTGTTCGGATTGCAATCGTCGTCATTCTTTTAATACAGTAATTCTGATGTTGCTTTTGAAAACCAAAATCATTAAGCATTTCTATGAAAGTAGAACATTCTTTACTGAGAACACCAAGAGAACAAATCGAAAGATTTACAAAGTTTACTGAGTTGAAATGTTCATTTTGTTCCCTAATTAATTCTTTATATTTTGATTTTTTACGCTCAACGTTTTTTTGAAGATTTGATTCGAAGCCAACTGTAAGTTCAACAATATAGAGTGTTCCGGTTGAGGTTGAAAGAAGCAAATCTGGACGGTAGGTGTCACCAGTGATGATTGATGGACTTTTGTACCCTGCGAGATCCACGTAAAGATGTGAGCCGCTTACGGCAAATAATAATAATGGAAACTTTATTAAATGATTTTCTTTACATACATATACAATCGTAAATCTCTAATAAAAATAATAATAATAATAATAATAATGGAAACTTTATTTATTGATTATTAGGATATATACAACTACAATGATAAACCTCGCTTTACAGGTAGTTTATCAATGTCTACTTGAATTGATACTATATATTTATTGTACAATAATTATTTTAAGAAGGATTATATTAACATTAATTTTGGGTTATCCCACACCTTGTTTCGTTTACAAAATACGTAATATGATGTTCGTATGCATATGTTCACGATTTGCTTTTTTATGTATTTACTATACTTGGCATCACATTTAAGGCTACTTAGCATGCCATCGAAATTTTTACAAGATCGACCAAAAACTCCGAGGATACTCAAGGATAAATTGACGAACTTGACTTTATCATAATCTGCTTCCTGCTCATTGATTAGATCACGGTACTTTTGACGCTTACGATTGGCGTTAACTAGCAGATTGGATTCATAACCGACTGTAAGCTCGAGGATGTATAGACATCTGTTTTCAGTCACCAGCAGAAGGTCAGGTCGTAAACGATCTCCCGTGATAACAGATGGATTCATAAAACCAGGAATGTTCGCGTAAAGTGTGGAATTTTTCACAGCAGTAAGAGTGGATGCGAGGAAGTTTAAAACAGAATCGTGTCGCCATGTAAACCGGCCTTCGTCTAAATATGTCTTACATCCAGCAATCACATGGAGCAGCGTTTCAGGTGAGGAGCAGAAAGAGCAATCGGATGTTGATGATAGTCCCCATTTTGATAGGTTCTTTCGTGTTGGAAGTGTGTTATTGATATATCGGATGGTGAAGTTAAAAATGTTTTTCGGAAGTTTGCTCTGAACGGATGATCATAAAGAGTTGGATGTGGATGTGGAATGATTCATGATACTGGAAAAGAAAGAACCTTGCGAAATGAGGTGGTTTTGAAGTCTTTGTTCGTTTTCTTTTCTAACTGCCTTAAGTACGTCTTTTGTGTCTTTGTAAATGTCATACTGTATGTTCTTGTTGGTGCTCGTCACCGCCCATAGATTGTTAATATCTACGTTTGGTGAGTATTTTAAAGCTGATCGAGAGACAGTTTGACATTGGATAAATTTTGTCGAAGGGAGAATAATATTCAGACCAAATTTGTTTTGTGGAAGCAACACGTTGCTAAGGGTTGCAGAGACAGGAAGTTCCAGCCATTTTCGGATATATTTTGTCGCAATACTGTCTAACGTTTCGCAGATCCAGGTCTTAGATATGTCAGAAACAGTTAAGTCCCAGGATATCTTTGACAGCAAGTAACGACTGTATAGTAGAATTTTATTTTTCGGGTGTAAAGGTAGTTCATTAATTTTATTCATGATGTCATTAAACACGTCGAGTAATTCCGATTTGTGTTCCTCATCAGACATATTGAAATCGAAATAGCGACCTAAGTAACGGAAAGATTTGCCCATTTTGGTTCTGGGTACAAGATCGTTATTAACGAAAAGCTTGGGTAAATAATAATAATAATAATGATAATAATGATAATAATAATAATAATAATAATAATAATAGTAATAATAATAATAATAATAATAATAATAATAATAATAATAATAATAATAATAATTTATTTATAAAATAATCCTACTAGTATACAGTGTGTATCGAAGTAAACGCAATTCATCTTTTGTGATTAATAACTTTCGAAATACTATTTCTAGTTAAACGCTTTTAGGCTTACTTCAAAGCCTGTTCTTTTCTCTTTCAAACAAACTATTATCCTTGTCTCTAATGCTAGTAATAATTGCACAGGAAAAGATTTAGTAAAACCTATCATTTTTAGTTGCTGTTTAATTATGCAAGTTTACTATGTTATTGTTTAGTCGGTTTAAATGTTAGAATTTTCTTCTTTAAACTTTAATGTTGTCGTCACTACATCTGGAAAACCACGTAAGAACAAATTAAAAGTATTTTAAAAGAGACTAGGTTGTTTGCAAATCCTAAACGAATGCTAAAAATCATAGAATCAAAACATTCTGGTGTCTGAGCCAGAGTGTCATCGAATTGCGATGTAATATAAACAGAAATTATAGCAAGCTGATGTCAGTCAGCTTAGATGGTCCAAGCCAAAATTATATCGCATTTGAAGTTTCAAACTGTGTTAAAAATAGTGGAAGAAAAAGCCGTAATTATACTTATTGTTACAATCCATTTATTAAAATGCAACATTTTTTTGTTTTAATGAAAAAATCAGTTATTTTCATGAGAACGATTTGTTATTCCATCTCAATTTTTTTTAATCTCCAATCGCAATAACGTAAAGTATTATTACCCGCGAACCAATGAGTCAAATTTAAGAAACAACCTACTGTTAGAAAGCTGAATGGCTACGCTTTAAAATGAATGTAAACTTTAACGTTTTCGTCTATTATTTGTTTAGCAATTTACATTTCAGTCGAGGATTGCGCTTTTTTTGATACACCCTGTATACAAGGAAGTGAGTCTAAATTGTTGTAGTATGTTATAGTGTATGTTATAGTAAGAATTTATGGTAAAAGTCTAAGCCTAAATTTTGGCACGAGAATTGTCTACTTCGAAGTCCGTTTCTTGAACGTTCGTTGTTATCCTCCTGGGTGCTCTAGTCCCTCTGAGACAAAGTAGAGCTGACCGCAAGATGGCAAAGGAGACCTTGGCTCGTATCCAGGACATGGTCGTAGAGTAGTCTTCGCCTTTCTTCGCTGCTATGAGCTCGGCCAATCTGCTATGATACCTCTTGCACTCTTCACTCATGCCTCCAGTCGTTGTAAATACTAATGGTGTAAACGTTTCGTGTTCTATCTCCATCACTTTGGGCATACATCCTCTTCTTCTCGTTTTCATGTTGCCTGTATATCTGTTGAGGGCTCAGGTCTTTGTAGGATTCCGCGTTGGGGTGACAAACCCTAACGTCAAAGAACGCGGACCTTTGTTTCTCCCAAAACCCTCGAGCGTGGATATCTAGGCGAGCGTCGTTGTGGCGCTGTATGATGAACCCACCTCGCTTGCAGATCACTGCGCGATCAATATTGAAAGTATCGCCACACACGCATACTGATGGCTTATCAGCTATTTTCCACTCATATCTCAGCTTTATGTACTGCGTCTCGAAACTCACCCTTGTTCAGATTGTAGTCCATTTCCTTAATGGGGATAACTGTTAGCCAGTTGGATGCACCTTTTTCAGTTGCTAGTTCCATAGCACGCCGTGTTTTCGGGGGTAGAGAGTTCTTAATACCATCCCGTTTAGCCTGAAGTACTTCGTTCTTTTCATTTCGCGAATTCTGCTGCAGTGTGTGAATAACAGAGTCATCTGGAATTTCATAAGCTTGTGCGATAATTTTCTCTACCAGTGGCGCTGTGGTCTTTATCGACGTTTCGTACTGCAGTGCTGCATCCTGTCTAGGATTTATAAGGCCAAGACCGCCCATTCGTACTGGGAGTGCCACGAGATCCCTTTCACTCTTTGTACAGTGATGATCCGTAATTGATGGTATCAGGACATCAGCAATAGCACGCTCCAAGGGCTCCAGTAAATCTTCTATATCTGGAAGTGTTCTAAGAAAATACGTCCATCGATGGCGGAGGCCAAAGGTGAAGGCGGCATAGCAGGCTTGTGGGTGTGACGCTCCGAATTCAGCTAGCTTGACGATTTGGCTAACCCAGTCCTCTACCTTGCCGTTGACGTATTCTTCCAGGAAAGCCATATAACCCAAGGCTGCGCCCAAATGCTTTTGCCCCTGCGCAGAGATATTGATCGCTGTCCCATCAAGAATAGCATGAGCACTTTCTTCTTTTCTAGGCTTTATGATCAACCAGCATTTCTTAGCATTTGGAAAGTATCCCAAATTAGGGCCAGCTTCATTCAGGTGTTCCCACCATCGCTTGATATCTTCCAGAAATCCCGCGCCACTCGCGTCGTCAGCAAACCAACATTGCTTAACACATTAAATCCGGTGATCAGGGGTTGAAGACTGATGGCATACATCCCCATGGCCAGGGGATCCCCTTGTGTGGTACCCTCGGTGGACTTGAGCTCTCCTCCATTAGATATAAATAGTCTAGCTGGTTCGCGATAGGTGTTAATTGCGTAGGTTGACATAGATGGACACAGAACTGTTATGTTGTGGAGTGCAGCCGCTCGATTGAGTGCGTTGAATGCGTTTGAGGCATCAATAATAATAATAATAATAATAATAATAATGGATATGGATTTAAAAAGCTGATTAATAATTCAGGAGCAAAACACAAAGAAAAATCACAAGCGTGTCGTATCTTTATATGTGATAAAAAATCATGTTAATTTACATAAACTTTAGCTTTAATTTTCTCGGTTTAGGCAAGTTTATTTTAAAAATTACTTCGCTAATGTACTCATAAGAAGATGGGTAGTTTTTTAAGCTATTTCTTTAGCACTTGTAAATTATATCTGATAAAACACTCCTACGTGTGCTTTAAATAGTACATAAAACGGCTAGGGACAGATATTAGACAGCTTAAGATCTACAACGTCAACGTCAGCTAGGACGTCAGGGCTAAGCAGAGGACTGGGACGTCGTCGTATATAAGTCGATAGCTCAAGTATCTACGACGTCAAATATTTAGGGCGGCAAGCGGAAGTAAATTGGTAATAGTTTTTGAAGTGTGCATGTGTCTCTTTCAATTTACTCGTCGTCCACCAAACGTCGACAATCTCACAACAACAGTTTTACCGTCGTAAATACAAGAGCATAACAAACGGTAATGGATTCACCCGTTTCTTTTAAATTCATTTTCAAAAGGATGTAAATATTTATAGTTTAAATGTCGACGTCGTGAATCTTAAGTGGAAGTTTATTTATTTAAGACGTCCTAGTTCCAGTCGTCTGCTCATCCCTGACGTCCTAGCTGACGTCGTAGATCTTAAGCTATCTATTAACATACTAGAAAGGAAGAAAAAGGGGAAAATCAAAAGGGAAGGTAAAAATAACAGGCTCGAGGAAAAATATAAAATAAGAACAAAGGGGTTACCAACAGTGACCGAGGAGCTTAAGCAGAGGGTACTAGCGAAAATAGCGAAGGTAAAGAGGTATGAACAGAGGGTGAAACAATATAGACAGAATAGAATGTTTCAGAGTGACAAAAAAAGGTTTTATGTGAAAATAAACAATGGTCAGGAAAGTAAAGTTGATAAAATGATACCAGATGTGGATGAAGTATAAAGTTCTGGAGCGAAATATGGGACAATGGAATTGAACATAATAAGGATTCTGAATGACTACATGAAGTGAAACAGGGAATCGGATATTTGAACCAAAACGATTTGAAGATAAATAAGGAAGATATTACAAAGCAGTGTAAGAAGATCCCCGATTGGAAAGCCCCAGGACTAGATGGAGTACAGGGTTATTGGATAAAGAAAATTACTTCTTGTTATCAAAGGATTGCAGAACAGTTAGATGAGATTTTAAATGGTAAGGCTGAACTACCTCAATGGATCACATATGGTAGGACAGTGTTGTGCTTAAAAGACTCATCAAGGGGTAATACAGTTTATAACTTTCGACCCATATCTTGCTTACCATTGATGTTGAAATTGATGACACGTGTGATTGCCGAAAGTATGTACACTTTTCTGGAGATGAGTGATGTACTACCGAATGAACAAAAAGGATGTAGAAGGAAGACTAGAGGAACAAAAGATCAACTGTTAATTGATAAGTTAGTTTTAAGAGATTGTAAAAAAAGACATACAAATTTATCGATGGTCTGGATAGACTATCGCAAGGCATATGTATGAAATGGTACCTCATTCCTGGATAGTGGAATGTATGAGTACATTCAAAATCGCAGCAAATGTGAGAACGTTTATGGAGAGTAGTATGGAGAACTGGAAAACGGAGTTAACATCTTCGGGAGAAAGCCTAGGAAATGTGAATATAAGACGAGGTATTTTTCAAGGGGATAGTTTATCTCCTTTGATATTTGTGATGTGCATGATAGCGTTAAGCTTGATACTGAGAAAGGAAAAGGTATGGTATGAAGCTCGCGGAAAAGAACTCAAAATCAACCATATTCTATTCATGGATGATCTGAAGTTGTTTGGAAAGAACAAGGAGCAAATAGACTCTCTGGTGAAAACTGTCCATATTGTTAGCAAAGACATTGGAATGGAATTTGGGATAAAGAAATGTGCAATGCTTGTAATGAAAAAGCCGGAAAGATTGTGGAATGTAATGGAATACAGCTACCTGATGAGGAAACAATAAAGTCCGTAGAAGAAGATGGATATAAATATCTTGGTATATACTGGAATTCGATAAAATTATGGAGGGTGAAATGAAGAGAAAATTTGTAAAGTAATACGGGAGGAGATTACAATGCGTCTACAGTAAGTGGGGCCACTTAGAGAACACTAACCAATCACATTGCAGAACAAAAATTGAAAAAATTAACAAACGGCGCATTAGCCAATCAGCATTAGGCCAAAAACAATTTGAACAAATAAACAAGTGTCAAACGGTAAAAATAGACTTGTAAAAGTAAACACTGCAGTTAATGGCTTCCAGATTTAGGTAAAGAAGTGGATGGGGAGAAGACATGGTGGTGATTGAAGAAAGGAGACTTGAAACCTGAGACTGAAGCACTTCTGTGCGCTGCACAAGAACAAGCTCTAAGGACAAATTATGTAAATTTTCACGTAGATAGAACTGTTGAGTCTCCACTCTGTAGACTTTGTGTGGAAAAGGGAGAGCATATAACACACTTGATATAAGTGAATGCAAGAAGCTAGCACAAGAAGAATACAAAAGAAGACATGACAATGTGGCACGCATTGTACACTGGAAGCTATGTGGTTTCTACCAACTAGAGAAAGCTGAGAAATGGTATGAACACTAACCAAATCGAGTAATTGAATCAGATAATGTAAAAATTATAATAGTTTTGTTTGTGGAAACACCACGTAAATTTATTGCTGCAAACAATTTATTACTTTAACAATGTAAAGATTCTCTGGGATTTTAGCATACAGTGCGATCATGTGATTGAATGTCGAAGACCTGATATTGTAGTGGTTTTAAAGAAGGAAAAGGAGTGCAAGATCATAGAAATCGCAGTTCCAGAGGACTGTATAGAATTGGTATAAAAGAAACAGAGAAGGTAGAAAAGTATGAGGAGTTGAAAATGGAAATTCGGAAAATATGGGCAATGAAAAAGTAGAAGTGATTCCAATAGTAGTGGGTGCCTTAAGAGCAGTTAGTAATAAACTGGGTAAGTGGATTGAGAAATTGGGAATACATATAAGAGTAGAACTTCTACAAAAACAGCGTTGATAGGGACAGCAAGAACACTGAGAAGAAGCTTGCATGGAAAGCTAAAATCTTTGGGACCTGAGGCTACTGGTTGTAGCCAGCTTCCAAGGAAAAACATTGCCAGCATAAGAACAAAGCTGTGAAAAACATGTAATAATAATAATAATAATAATAATAATTACACAACGAAAGTCGTGCGTTGTTCAACTTCATATGAATCAAAATTGAGAACTGTTTTCAAGCAATTTATAAATAGCTCATTTTCTCTCAGAAACGTTACCAAGATTTACGCCTATAAAAAAACGTCAAAAAGAAAGTTCCCTCCAAAATTATTAAGAAGCTCTGACGTTGTTAACGTTTTATAGACAATACAGTTTAGTCTTTATATAGCGCCATGCAAGAAATAAAATATTCCAATAAATGCAGAAATTTGTCCAGTACTTTACTGGCTACACATAATCGAGCATCTGCATAGCAAATTATTTAAACAAACATTGATGCCCACAAAAAATTATGGCTCAGGAGTAAGTGCCCTTTCTAAATAGCTGTCCTCGAGCTTCACGTTGCTTCCGGCGTTCCAGAATGGTTCGTTTGGGAAGGAGCGGGGGTGTATTGTAATTGATAATCATGATTAACGCATGTGATTCTGTGTGAGCATGTGTCGCGTACGCAGGCGAACGGGTGGAAGTAGAACAAACAAAAATTGGCCCGACGGCGATGGAAATTGCCCAACATCATCAGGTAGTAGAATGAAGAGTTTTCAATATTCAATGGAACCTATTTTAATATTCTGGCGGGAATGACTGCATGACTGCATAACAGTCAGGGTCAATCGGGCCGCTGTTACATTGTCAGTTTGCAGCTAGCTTTGCTATTAATCACGCGAATTGCAGTTGTGTTCTAATAATTTTTTATAAGCACAAACTATAAGGTGTTGAATCGACGTACACCATCTTTGGAACATATATTATACCTTCTAAGCGATAATAATATTGTATG